GGAGAATATGGTCCACTCGGACTCAATATCTCCAACCTCCCCCAGAATCTGGTCAAAGCTCTGCCGGAGGCGGGAGTTGAAGATCTCTCTAACAGGGGATTCTGCTAAACGTTCCCAACAGACCCTCACAATATGTTTGGGCCGGCCACCAGGCGCTCGCATTCGAGCCCGGCTCCAGGGTGGGGCCCCGGCTGCGCCATGCCGGGCGACGTCACGGTCCTTGGTTGGATTCTACTCATAAAAGGCTTTTGAACCGCTTTTAGTCTGACCCGTCACCCAGGACCTGTTTGCCTTGGGAGACCCTACCAGGGGCATACAGCCCCCGACAACATAGCTCCTAGGATCACTTGGATGCTCAAACCCCTCCACCACAATAAGGTAATAAGGTGGCGGTTCAAGGAGTGTGAACATTATCCAGAATTGTTTGTGTTGTTTCCAGTGCAATGAGCACCACAAGCATATGCACCGCACTCTGATTATAACCAGAGGACCTGTAGAAAATGAAATTATAAAACAAACCTATTCTATTTTGCATATGGTTCAATGTCCAAACTATGCTGGTTTAACTTGATATGACATGTAACACTATGGAAGATTGTATAAATGCTGTTGTGCAGAATAGTGGTTGTCCAGAAGATGGAGCCATGGGTTAACTTCATGTCATGAGTGGGCCTTATGATGTTGCAAAAATATAAAAACGCTTGCAAAAACGATTTCCCGTAAGATTTTAGGACATACTTTGATTTGATTTTTATTGACATAAACAAATAGGTTAAACAGAACATGAAAAACAAAATAAAAGAACAAAACAACAGAGTGATACTTTGTTGCATAGGTGAATTCATGTAAGGACGCTTTAATCTAATCCGTTGTGGGATAGAAGTGATTTCAGTAAACTATCTCGAACTAAACTTGCCCGATTTCGGACCACCTTGCTGAATTACACCATCCGTCGTTGCTTCAAAAATGACGAAATGCAGTGGTTGTGCACATCATGTTGGTCAACCCGAAACCCTCTTCCTACTTGCACTGCACTGCAGGGATTTCCCATTTTCTGTAAGCCTACGCATCCTCCCTCACGTAGGCTTGTCCTCCTTGTGACACGTGTTGTGACATCAAGGAAAAAAGGACAGAACAGCAAAGAATATATATATACAGTGGTAGCATACATGAAAGCATAGCTTCATGTATGTTAGCTAGTTCATTCTGCAGCTGTTGGTTTCCTCTCTCTGTTACATTATCAAGCTACGTTTGCAGCATTTCATCACATCCACGTGTCAGTGGTAGGAATGAGGCGAAATGCCTCATCATTCCTACCCACTTCCATGTTGGCATCCTGCCAGTGTCCCTATCCCTGTCTGTGTCTGTCCTTCTCTCTGGGAAATATTATCTTTCATCATCGACACAGACCCCAAGTTTATTAAATGAGTACGGTGTGTGAATAGCACACTATCCAGACCAGTGTTTTATCCCACTAGTTACTATGGCAGCCGTTAAGAGGCCGTGAGCAGTCCCTCGTTCAGAATGGTTCCTAGCAGCACAGGATGTCCTGACGTCACGTCACCTAGGCGACCAGGCTCCCCGAGGCACGTGTCTCGTATAAAAGCGGAAGGCGGCACAGTGGATTGCGCACACAGACTCACGAAGCATCTATTGAGAGGTAAGGCTCCACCCTGCTCTACCATTCAGTATGTAGACGGCCATGCTACACAGTTTTGCCTAAATAGATTAAAATGAGGATGTCAGAGTGTTTCTTTCACACGTGTCGGCCTGTAATCAATGTCAAATGTTACTCGTTGGAGCAAAAATGTTGGTCTGCCGTAGGCTACATGAACTTGGTTTACTAGTGCAGATTTGAGTTATAGTTGTTCATTTTTAACGTTCAGTTTGTCGCATATTCTCGAGACTGGCATGGCCAGTAGCCACTCTAACATGTATAGTGATTAACTTTTTTAATAAGTGTCTTATTTTACTCCAGCATCCTCACGTAGATGTAAAAGACAAGCAGAAAACGAGAGGGTGAATTATCATAATGCCCATATAACGTTATCTTAAATCGCTACAAGATTAAAGCGGATTGTTGGGCAGACTGCAGACCTGAATGATTCAGGAAGAGAAAGGCGAGGATGCGGCCATGGCCTTGCAATTGTGTAATGCCTTCTGCTCGAGTCGTTTTGTTGTATCATTTAGCTTGCATTAAATTCCACTGGAGTCCCCAAATCAATAAAATTACAAGGAACTGTGCTCTTGTCGCAAAGACAACCTGCATATGCGAATAACAGCCCATTCGTAATGGGGAAAAAGTCATTGAAACTCGATCTTCTTCCTGAGCGGGTGGCGTGACATTGGTAGCTCCTGAAGCTGCATCTTTGCGGAAGTGGATGTCTCCATGTTATATAACCGAATTTAAAAGAAAAAAAAACTTTTGCTGCCTTAATCGCAATAAAATACACGTCAATACTCAACGTAAATAGGAATTGTAATGAAGTTTAGTTTACTGCATTAGTGCTCTGAGCCGGTGTAACGTTGTGGGATGAATGAGTGTACGTGAGCGGTGGTGAAGCTACGTGCCTCACCAGGTCTTCGTGATGAAGTCTGCGCCATTTGGTTTCAGAGATGAAATGACGAAAAGCAGAGGTCACAGTGATGCTAGGAACTACACGAGACGGATGAATAACCTTGAGTTTGTCATGTACATGCCGATGAACCTCCTGCGACGCTTTTAGAGGACAGTTGTCGCATGATTCTGCCGCAGTTTGACTTCATACTCGACAGATGAGCAAAGCAAAAGTCAAAGCAGTCATCCAGTATCTTATTGTCTAAACGGAGTGACTCATCACCTTTTATTTGTGCTGTCCTCCTTAAGAACAGTAATAAAAGAACATTACTTAACCATCATTAATTGCGGCAATCGGTATGTGCAGCATTGACTTTCATTCACTTCATGTAGGAGGGGTAGATGCAGATGCAGCCATGTATGGCCTTCCCTCACATGTGAAGGTCATCACTCCAGCCAAGGAAGGTCATAGGGCCCAGAGCTGCTGTAGCGATGCTGTCAGGGTTGTAATCTCTATTCTCAAACTTATTTTTAACTTGAGATGGGTTACACATACTGCACTTGGATGTAGAGTCATTCCTCCATATCTCAGGTACTGAATAACTGAAGGATATTAATAATGGGCCTTAATTTGCCAGGCAGCTGTCATCATAGCTCTTGGAAGAAAATTGGCAGTTGTACCATCCATCAGCAGATGGCAGTTCTGCATTGTTTTTAGTTTGATTTGAACCTCCACAGCACATGTATAACTTGATTTTAGGATTTTCTTATCCAGCATCTAGTTGCTGTGAATTTATCAAAATTGACAGTGGTTAGAACATTTCAGAATTAAAATGTGTTCTAGCTCCATCAGTACATGTCAGTGATATTAGCTTTATAACAGATGGGGCATGTTAACAAGGACTGCCATGTTGGTAAGGAGATGTGGACCATCTGCATACAAGACCATGGGGTCTCTATGACGTGGGTAATAGATGTGGAATGGATTCTCAGGTACTCACTGTAAGAACTATAAAGGATATTTGTTTCTTCTGTCAGATTAGTGTCAATGCCACCAGATTGATCTTTCCCTTTTAATTTATATATGGATGTTCACTGCATCCTGCAGTTGGTTGCTAATCACTGCCTTTTTAAAGTGAGATTAGTCATGTGAATAATTCAGGTTTGAGTCACTTGTCTGTCAGTTTTTTTTTTTTTCCCCTTTACACTGACACAAGTTTTCCACCTGAAGGTGGTGTGGTTGTTAGTGGCCTGAGGTTAGTATGACTGTCCTTCTCGAGCTTTCTCTGCGGGTGACTGATCAACCAACCATGTTGTCCAGGGTGTGTGTGTAAGAGAAAGGGAACTCCATAATGACTCGGCAGTCTGTGTCTAACAGTCACCAGAAATAAACCCTTCAAAATCTATATTGGGGAAGGATGTGCACAACTGGGACATAGAAGGCCCTTACTTATAAAACTGCAGTGTTATCTTGCTCTTTTTAAATATTGTGGGCATTTTAAATGTATGCCGACATCTACCTGCTGACACAAGCTTGTAGGTCTGTGTGGTGCAGCATTATGCTACCTCTGCAGAGTGGTCACATGTCTATCCTCCTCTGCAGTTTGTCAAACTGCACCTTTTTAATAATTCATGATGGTTGGAGTCCGTGTGCATTAGCAAGTCTTTGATAAACCTACAATAGTAAACCTTATTAATTTCATTATCCTGGTTCAGAGGTATACATACTGTAAAGCTATCACCACTTCACTGTTTATAAATTCCATGGGCTGCCATCTTTCTATCCCTATCAGGAGGCTTATGCCTGCTTGGGACACAAATCTTGTACATTGTGTATCTGATGGGCAATGTGATGGTGTAGGACAGTTAATTGAATAGTTTATGGCAGCAAAGTGACAATGTCGCAGTAATGAGACTATAAAAAGGGAGGCAGCAGGCATACTGCCAAGGGGTGGAGGAAAGAGGAGGACCCCAAAAGTTCATAGAGTACATGCCACTATTGTGTATGTGACTAACATTTGTTTTATTTTATTCACAAAGATGGGCAAGAAGGGGAAAATGTTACCTAATTTGGATGGTCTGTCTGGCCTTCAGCTAATGGGCTCACTGCAGTGGAAAAACACTGAAGAGGAAGAGGGTGTGACAGCTGGCTAAATGGCTAGAGGAAGGTTTGTGTAACCAGGAGACGCTGAAATAAGTGTGACACAAAGGAAGAAGGCCGGGGGTGCTGTGGGCAGGACAAGAGGGCCGGGTCTGGGAGCTCCTTTCCAATGAACCCACTAGCCATAGGAGGCGTAAACGGTATAGGCTTTAGTTTAAACCTGGCCTTTTCTGACATGACTATAGGGCATTTTCTAGTTTTAGTCTTAAACTATAATGGCCATTCTGTGTACCAAATAAGCAGGGGGAGGGACGAGTCACAGCTCAGAGGAAGGGTAGGTTGTGGCAGCACCACACTTGTCAGGTGATTGACAGTTTGAATTCAGAAAATTAAGAGGTGGCTGGTGGTGGAATTGAGAAGTTGTCACAGACCTGCTCTGGTCATCCAATCAGGAGAGGAGGTGGCTATATGCATAAATCTGAATCCTGTATTTTGTTCACATAAGTGGTGGTGGTAGATGCACACCTGACCACCGTCCAAAATAACATTCACTGTTTGTCTTGACCAAAAGTTAACTGTATGCGCTTTAGAAAGCTTCATTCCAGTTGGGGAGGTCATAGAGCACAGTGTAGTAAATCTAGAATCAGAAAATTGGTGCACAAGTCTTGCTACACTTCACATGTCTGTCTGCCTCTTCCTTCGTTTTAAAGCATGTAAGCAAATGCTAGCTGCAGTTAATGTCTCTGCTTAGCTCACCACTGCCTCTGAGCAGAACATGTCTGAGTGCTGTCATGACAGCCTTGCCGAAGAGCATATCGGTGCTGATTGGTCTGCAACTAAAGAGGCAGGACTGGAAAAGTAGGAAGCGCTTCTGGCTATGGTGGCTGGTTACAGTATAGGTCAGTAAACGTATACTCAGAATCCCACCGGTTTTGAAAGGCTCTGTTTTCAGAATCAACTTTTCTCTTGGCCATTGTTAGGGGCTAGCTTTGACTTGAAATTAGGGTTGTATACATCGACAGATGTTTGATTTGATGTAATTGATGCGGGAATGATCGCAGGTAGCCTATCGTTCGGTAAGGCAGCCGTTTAAAATATACATCTCGCGGGCCTGATGTGGCCCACGGGCCTTGAGTTTGACACGTGCAGTAGAGCAACCATTTTGTTGGCAAAACCAGGGCAATGGCTCGGTTTAGAAAAACAGAGCTTATCTTGTAAGTTATAGAGAGAAAACCAAGGAATTTGACAAATGGTGAAAGTGCATGGGCACATAGGAGTGTTCAAAAGAGAGGCAAGTGAGAAGGTCCCTGCTGAGAGTTGTGAATGCACAATAAGTAATGGTTGGACCAAGTATAAAGAAAGGGATAGACAAACATGAGAACAGCACAGCCATACTGTAGTTTCACTCTAGCACACCTTGTAATATGGATGCTAGCTGCAGAAGACAAAATGGCTGCTCTGCCCTGGAAGGACAGGAATGGCTGCGTGCTTGTGCACACAAACAATATATAATTAACCCTGTTTAGAAATTGTGACTGAATAAACTGACTGATGTTGGCAACAAACAGTGTTAATAGGGCATGTGCTTGTGCTAAATAATGAGTGGAAAGGTTACAATGACCCTGGATACATATACTACTGCTCATGTATGAGAGCATGTGGTACAGTAGAAGAGATTTATCCTAGTCTGGGCCCCACTTTTATTCGATTTAAGGTGCTCCCTCAGTGCATTTCAGCACATTGCCAGACTGTTGCACGTTCCTCGCTGGGATGTGCACAACAGATAAAGAGATTAGCTGGTTGTCTTTTTGACAACCAGTGTCGAGGACAATGCTGTCCTTTCTCACTATACCTGTCAAGCAGGTCAGCACCTGGTCAATGTTTCTGGTACCATATCTATCTGTGTAGGTGTTTAGCTATGTGGTAATCTTTGGTGCTCTTGTGTCATGTTTCTCTGCCTACCTGAAAAGAGCATTCATGTCACTGAAATGAAGAGGTGGAGATGGTGAGATGACACAGAAGGCAAAGCCATGAATGTTGTAGTTGGCAGAAAGGTTGGGGAGGAGAGGATGGGTGTGAGGGGGTTGGTTGAGTTGATGAGCATGCGCAGAGGGTGAAGGGAGGCCACATACTTGAGTCAAAGCCAGGCTTCCTCTTTTCAGTCAACAGGCAAGTGTTGTCTTGATACCTACTGCTTTCTAGTTCTCCTCATTCCATTGGAAAAAAAAAACCTTAGAAAAAAATCAGCTGGCATCCAAGAGGCTTCATCAGTTCTGAACTGATGAAGCCTCTTGGATGAGAGGTGAAACATCTTCGATCTAGAAATCTAAGTCCAGTTCATGTTCCTGCATGATTTAACACCTCCCTACCCCTGCAGCAGATGCACATAAAACATGCTATTTTGCAGCCTGTATCTTTCTGTCACTGATGATAAACAGTGTTGCACACAGTCTTCTTTACCTTGTTATGACTGTATCTAACTTGTGAAACTAAAGCTTTTTGTACACAAATGTATCACCTTGGGTTTTTTTTGTTCACTCTTTAGTGCTAATGTGTCACATGGCTATTTATGGAGTGTACTGTGAGGCTATTGGCCTCTATTATTTAGACCTTAAAACTCTAGGAAACAAATTTGTTAATGAGGTGTCCTTTCCTCCAAGCCTTTATCTGCATCATCCAATCACCATTTTATTTCTGGTAAAGGGCCATGTCAACAGGAACTGCTTAAGGGTCAACTGAGAATTGAGGAATGCCCATACAAAGGATGTGAGAAACCCATGTGTAAAGGCGAGAGGAGATGCAGGGCAGGAGAGGACAGATGTAACTGGGTGAAGAATAAAGGAATTGGAATAAAATTAAGACAGAAAATAAAGTATAATGGCAACTGAAAATGGGCAACAGATGACGAGTTTAACACAGATGCACTGTTTTGTGCTTTGTAGAAGCATATCAGACTTGGTCACATTACACCAACGCAACACTCGCAGTCTTTGTATATTGCCAACAACTTAACTGATTAAAGCCACCTCCTGCTGCCAAAGTGAAAACTGGCTTCAGTCAAAGTGCTCACTTTGACTTGTGTGACTGTTGGCGGCAAAGAGTGGGTATGTGCTCGTATGTCATGAAGCTGCAATGAGTTCTGGTGTTGAGAACAGATGCGCTATTGTCCAAAATGATGTTATGCTGCTGGTTAGAGGACCATGGCAAATGAGGTTGTTTCTAATGGCCTCTGGTTTTCCCCCACAGGTAACTCCACACCCCCTAAATAACAGGAGCCACCATGTCAGACCTCTGTGTTGGAATCAACGGGTGAGTCAAAAACACACTTGACCCCCCCCCCTTTTTTTCCTTTTTTTTAATTTTGGGTGGTTCACATTGACTTTAGGATTATTAGGCCATGATGTCAGTGAAAACACTAACTTCTGCTAGTTAGTGCATTACTATGGAGAAGGGTTAAAAATGCATTTGCTCTGGGTTGAAGCATTTTAATTTTCATAAACATTGCCCTTTATACAGTATGCTGAAAGGCTTGAGTCTGCTTATACAGTGTCCTGAATCAATAGTCATGGCACAGTGAAAGCTGTAGTCGACTGATCATGTCAGAGGTTTAAACTTGTCTTGTTGCATGCAGCTCTTCCTCTAACCAGTTCACTATGGCTATGTGTTCTTTTAATATTTCTTCCTTGCAGTATGTTAAGATGCTCCATAACCAACAGGTTGCTTACTATTGTGGATTCACAGTAAAGGTTTTTGGGCCACTGAAAAGTTAACATGATCCAGCAATGAAAAGAGTTTGGCTTGTGTTAATGAGCACATAACAGCAGTAACAATCACAGTAAATCCTGTTTTCAAATTGTTTTTCTGCTCTCCCCTCACTCTACAGCTTCGGTCGCATTGGCCGTCTGGTCCTGAGGGCTTGCCTTCAGAAGGGTGTCAGAGTTGTGGCCATCAACGACCCCTTCATTGAGCTGGAGTACATGGTGAGAACTTCCTCATACCTGTCTAGAAACTTCTTTATTAATGTCTAGTCTGAATGCATCACCCTTAATCACTTAGAACAATGGGTACTAATGCAAGATTTAAGCTTGATGTGTCTGTTGATGGAGATGACAGGTGTCTGTTGATGTGTCTGTTGATGGAGATGACAGATTTGTTCTAACTGAACCAAATGCCTAAACTGTGACTGTTTTTTGCTGCTTATTTGTCATTTGGTTGTAACCAGTTTTAGACAGATGTGGTACTACTACATGACCTTGCTTTTATGATCCCATCTTTATTCTACCACCTTCTAGGTCTACATGGTCAAGTATGACTCCACCCATGGTCGTTACAATGGTGAGGTCCGTTGTGAAAATGGCAAGCTCATCATCGATGGCCAAGCCATCTCTGTCTTTCAGTGGTAAGTGATGTTTGTTGTGGCACAAGTATGTGCAGTGTTACCTCTTGGTGGCATTCCAGTTTTAGTTATAGCATTCTTTATTTTATATTTCACTTTTAAGGTGCAAATAGAGTTGTACCGATTTGCAGTTTTCTGGGCAGATTCATCTCTCCCCCCCCAGAACTGTAATTGATAGCATACGGATATTTTTGTAACTTTTCTTTTTTGGAAAAATCTAATCTGGTACAGACACGGGGGCAAGCCTCACTCAAGTTGCACATAAGATGCTATGTGCTGCACATGCTACACTTTTGGTCTGTGCCACTGTTCATCTAGACTGTTGTGCCTCTAAATCTGATCAGAAATCTTAGTGATGGGCCAGTTGCCATTTAAGGCTGACCATGCTGAAAACCAACCACTTCTGATCTGCACTGGTTGATTGACACATCTCTGGTAATATTGTGGGTGAATTGTTGGCCTACTGTTTTAGTCCTTTGTGAAATGGTACCTCATCTCTTCAAAGGGCAGTACCAACAACAAGGGTTATAGAGGAGACGTTTGGTTCACAGTTCCTCTTTGTACAGTGAGACCAACTGTGTGAGTGGTCTTCCTGTTTTAATATACCATCAGTTTATTTTGCAAGAAGGAACTTTTTCTTCCCTAATTGATTGTTCCTTCCTAGATGTAACTAAAGAGGCTCCATCTTATTTGTTTCTACTCTTATTATATTTTGGTGTTGCTTTGCTCCCCAAGTTTAACTTGACCAAACAGTAGCAATAAGCATGTTTCTTTAATCCTAGTATGAAGCCAGCAGAGATCCCCTGGGGCAGTGCTGGAGCCAAATATGTTGTTGAGTCCACTGGAGTCTTCCTTAGTGTGGAGAAAGCCAATGTATGTACACACACAAACATATACATTTACACCAACTACTAGATAGTCCAGTTTCTAACCTGTGCCCACCCTCTGCCCCTCAGGCTCACATCCAGGGTGGAGCTAAGCGTGTGGTTGTGTCCGCCCCTTCACCTAATGCTCCAATGTTTGTCATGGGAGTTAATGAGGACAAATACGACCCCTCCTCCATGACAGTTGTCAGGTAACGTAGCTTTACTCTAGGGCATGCATTCACAATGTTCAGTTAATTTTCATAAAAATTACAGTGGAGCATTTCCATTACAGCTATGAACAGAATCTTGTCTTGTAGTTAATTATGTCTCTTTCTGTTGATAGTAATGCCTCCTGCACCACCAACTGCCTGGCCCCCCTGGCCAAAGTCATCCATGATAACTTTGGCATTGAGGAGGCTCTTATGGTAAATCATATATATATAGAGAGAGAGAGAGAGAGAGAGTGTGTGTGTGTGTGTGTGTCAGTGACCTGCAGCCACAAAGAAAAACATCATGACACTCCTTTTCAGACTACAGTCCATGCATACACAGCCACCCAGAAGACAGTGGATGGGCCAAGTAGCAAGGCCTGGCGTGATGGCCGTTGTGCCCCTCAGAATATCATTCCAGCCTCCACTGGTGCTGCCAAGGCAGTGGGCAAAGTCATCCCTGACCTCAATGGGTAAGGGCAGACATATTTATCAGCTTCACCTTTCGCTAATTGTGACAATGCAGCTGAGACCAACATTCATTCTCCCTTTTTGCTCACTTTAGTAAGCTCACAGGCATGGCATTCAGGGTGCCAGTGGCCGACGTGTCAGTGGTTGACCTGACATGCCGTCTGTCCAAGCCAGCATCTTATGCTGAAATTAAGGAAGCAGTGAAGAAGGCTGCAGATGGGCCCTTGAAAGGAATTCTGGGATACACTGAGGACCAGGTAAGGCCTGATTTTTCACATACATGGTTACTAATGATGCCGGAACTAAAATCATAACTTAGTGGGGTGAAAGGGTTCAGTGGGTATGTGCTTGTCTGTAAGCTTACAGTAAATTTTAAAAAATGAATTTTCTTATCCCAAATTAATATAATTTCTTGTGACAAAGTGGAAACTAAACTTCAACATGCCTGGGTACACAGTATCTTACTTGTAGTGTGGTTTGTATTTTGCAGGTGGTGTCCTCTGATTTCATTGGTGACACCCACTCCTCCATCTTTGATGCTAGTGCTGGCATCTCCCTCAGTGACAAATTCGTCAAGCTCATTTCCTGGTTGGTTATGTCTCTTGTTCAGTTCGGCATGTGAAACATGACGGTAGTCCTAATCTAAAGAGGAAATGGGTTTTCTGTTCAAAACTGATCATTTCTCTTTGTTCCCACAGGTATGACAATGAGTTTGGCTACAGCCACCGTGTCACTGACCTGCTAATGTACATGCACTCCAAGGAGTAGACACTTCCTGGCTATAATGGAAGTCAGGAACGGGACCACCCCAACCCCTCCCTTCTCTTTAAAACACAAGCTCTGATCATAGCATCACAGCCCCTAGCTCTACTATAGTATAGGTAGGCAGCAGTGTGAGTGTTCTGAGTTCATTGTTTTCCTTTAATGACAAGATCAGTCAGTTACAGTATTTGTCTGTGTGCACCCTCTCCACTGCCACTTTAGATGTGTCATAGTGGCTCAGTCCCATGGTAACTACTGTATCCATCTCCCTGTTGTGTTTAGAGGAAGCTGAGGCAGAGCTACTGTAAGAATGAGACAAATAAAACTCTGAAAAAAAAATTCCAGCTGTCCTGTGTGTGTGTGGGGGGGGGGGGGCGTGGACTGCAAACATGATAAAAATTGAATGTAAACATGTATATCATAAAATATCGAAGGGCAATCTTATTCAGTCTGCATGAGAACTATGGCCTGAGAGAAGATTTATTTTCCAGCAAGACAGTGACCTGAAGCATACAGCAAAAGCTACACAGAAATGGTCTAACAACAAGGTGAGTGTTGTGGAGTGGCCGAGTCAAAGCCCACACCTCAGGCCGATGGAGAATTTGTGGCTGGACTTAAAGGGCTGTTCACACCCAATCCCTGTGCAACCTGGCAGAGCCCGAGCAGTTTTGCAAAGAAAAATGGAGTAAAATTGCAGTGTCCAGATGTGTAAGCCTGACTGAGACAATCAGTGCTGTGACTGCAGCCAAAGGTGCATCTACTAAATACATCTACTTGGAGGAGATGAATAGTTATGCAATTTCCCCATTGCATATTTTTGTTTAATTGACATTACTTTGTAGAAACCTGATTTCACTGACCTTTAGAGGTGTTTTTTTTTTTTGTTTTTTTCTTTCTCAAAAACCAAATTGTACTGACCATGATGAATTTATAAAAATCAAAAGGATAAAACATCCCAGGGGGTGAATATTTTATATAGGTACTGTATGTCCACTGAAATTGAAGAAAGGTAAGTATTGTCAATTTTTTTTTTTTCTTCCCCTGCTCAATCTACACACCTCTACCAATCCTTTATTAAACAAGCTTGTATGATGCCATGTGTCCAGTTCCACATCTTGACATGACGGTGATGGAAGGTAACTGCTTTTACTCGGACTGTACTTCAAGTATGACTGTGTGGTACAGAGTATTTTGATTTCATGCTACTTCTGTTGATGATCATTCAGAGAGGCTGTATATTTTACATACCCCAACATTAATTTGACAGCTTAAGATACTAGCTGTGTAGAAGATTTTATTCAAATTGAATGGAAAGCCTGTTTGAACTGTTGCAGGTTAAATTATCCAACAATATATAAAAACTTAAAATCAGTTCAACCATGACTGATCACAGATTTTATACATTTAAAGCATTAGAAATAATCATGTTCTAGTTAAATCCAATGTTGTGTAATAGATTTCCACTGAGAGGGGTCATTTTTGGATGGAGCAGCTTCAGTAAGGAACGTGTAGTGCCACCTGCTGGGTATTTATTTAGTAGTGCTGTTACAAGACATGGAACTGCAGACTAAATAACAGACAAAAGTTTCCCCTCTGTTGCCTGCCTTGGCCAGATTCCTCTCAACAGGAACTGAGGAGTAAACCTTTTTTCTTTTTCCCTGTTCCCGCCTACTGTTTTCTTGAGCATACTGCAACTATAAAAACACATTATGCATTTCTTTATACTATAACGGTGGGTGTAACCATGAACTGGTTTTACAGGGGAATGCATGGAGAATTAAAAATATTACTTAAAGGGAAGCTCAGGAAGTTCGACCTGCCCCGGGAGCTGCTGATACAGTTCATACAGGAATCATCGAGTCTGTTCTCTGCTCCTCCATCACTGTCTGGTTTGGCTCAGCAACCAAACAGGACAGGAACAGACTCCAGCGGACAGTCGAGATTGCAGATAAGGTCATTGGTGTGAGCCTGCCCTCCATGGAGGACCTGTACACCTCATTTAGAGGACAGAGAAGATTTCTGCAGACCCCTCTCACCCTGGACACAAACTTTTGAACTGCTGCTCTCTGGACGGTGCTACAGGTCACTGATGCTGCTACACTGTCCGTCCCAACAGGAACACTGTGACACCCTATCCAAATACGATGCCAACAACTGGATCATCGGGGACTGCACAGAAAGAATAAACCTCATCTGCTACAGATACACAATATTTACATGAGCAACTGGTAGAGATTAATGTTTAAGTCATTAGAGCTCCATAACTAATACTTGTTTTTTCTGTAGGTTAACAGACTCAGCATTCTTTACTATAAGGGAGAGCCTTATGTTCCTTCTATTGATACACTTTTATTGTAATTATCAGTTCTGAAAATAGAAAGTTACATAGTCAGAAACATTTATTTCTTGGCTGATTTTTATATAGTGTGAGAAAGAAGATTGCCACAGTAATTATAGGATTGTGGCCATACGTAGCAGTATGTAGCCTATAGTTTAAATTATAAACATATAGGGTAGTTAAAATTAAGTTCATCTTTACAAGCTGCAACATTAATGCGGTGTACACAATAATGCATCCATAATTATGATTTAATATTATAACTTTCCTATGTGAAATGTACCGTTTTGCATAATGAATGATTTCAGCTTTTGGTAGTTCAAGTAGGCCTATATTTTACATATATTTTGATGTTAATACTTAATAATAATGCTTTTACTTCAGTAAAATTTTGAATACGTACTTTGAAAGTATTTTCTTGTTCCGTGTTGTCACTGAGTTCGACTGCAGGATGCAACATGGGCCCTGGTTTTAGAATATATTGGAATCTATGCCGAATCTGCTATTAACAATTTTTTTTAATGTAGGCTACTATTAGGTGGGCTACTCATTTATATGTGTCAGGGTACTATTAATGTAGCTTACTGACACATATCAATTAATCACCTGACTGTAAATAATACAATGAAGAATGCAGTCAATGGTACGAACATAACATGCGGAACAGTTTATTCACTTCCTAGGAGCGACATTTTCGGAGGCATTTTAAGGTGGAACCAAACATACTTCCGTTTGTTATTCAACGAGACCTTGGCAAGGTAGCCTGCTTCTTTTTTAGCTCTTTATACTTACAAAGTGTTGACATTGACAATCGTGAGGCCCTTGTTTTACAGGTGCTGCCATCTTTGTTTACATGTTAATTTAACAAGGCTCTTTGTCGAGCTTCCACAGAGGGAAATTATCCTCGAGTTGTTAGCTTGCTAGTGATAGATGTAACTTAGCGGTGTGTCTGGCGTCCACACTGGTGGTGGAAAGATGTAACTAATTAGCTAGCTAATGATTAATCTGTGAAATAACGGTTTGTTGCTTTTATCTGTACCAAATCATTGTAAACTGAACATCTTTTGAGTTCTTGCCACAAAACAAGACATTTGCACGTATCAGCTTGGCCTCTGTGAAATTGCCAGAGGCTTTTTAACTGTTTGTGACACTGTTTTTGTGTGTATCAAAATCGGTCCGTAATAAAAAATGTTCTAAAAATGTTGCATCAGCCATCTTTATCTCTCTCTCCCCAGGGGCCTGGATTGTGCGACCAGACATCATGACACTTTTTCACTTTGGAAACTGCTTTGCCCTGGCATATTTCCCTTATTTCATAACATACAAGTGCAGTGGCTTGTAAGTGTGTGTTAGCATGATTGATGCATAACTACATGCTGTATGACTGGAGCAAAAATCTGTAAAACTACTGTAACTGCAAATTTTTACATCACTGTTCAATGGTTTTTGAATATTCCTATACTGTAGCAGCATATGCTCAGAGACTTATAATCTATTTAGTAATGTCTGAGGTTTGGGCTCTACATAATCCTGGTAGAACTTTGTAGTATGCTCTTGAATTTGGCAGGACTTTTGCTTAACCACCTAATGTAGAGTTATCATGGCATGCCATTACATTGTGTGCTTTCTTGTTGTCCTACCACTGAGCTCTGTTATGTGTTAAATCTTTAGATCAGAGTACAATGCCTTCTGGAGATGTGTCCAGGCTGGAGCCACATATCTGTTTGTCCAGCTCTGTAAAGTGAGTGAGCCTTTTAGTGATTAAATAATCTGTAATCTTCCTCATTTAAAATGAATGGAAAAAGATAAATAAAACTGAACATGGGACAGTTCAGATAAAACAGGAAGTAGCCATTAGTATCTTTAGCTTCCTTTTTTTGGAGTGTGTAAGTAGGGTTTCATTTTGTGTTTCAGATGCTGTTCCTAGCTACATTTTTCCCAACCTGGGAAGGAGGAGCTGGAGTTTATGACTTTGTCGGTGTGAGTATTAAGCTGCATCACTGTAATATCACAAAGGAAGAATAATAATTTTGTCATGTTTGTCTCATCACTTTACTTGCAGAAAAACCATTTAAAATATCACATGTATAATCTGTAATATGTGTGTGTCTCTCAGGAATTTATGAAGGCTACAGTGGACCTGGCAGACCTGTTGGGCCTCCATCTTGTGATGTCTCGTAATGCTGGTAAAGGAGAGTACAAGATCATGGTGGCTGCCATGGGCTGGGCAACAGCAGAACTTGTCATGTCTAGGTAAGCAACAACAGTGTTGCTGCAGAAGAACTGTTGGCTTTCTTTTATTTTATTTATTTTGTCAAATTATGGTACACCTCTGTGAAGGCTTCAGCCCTGGCCTTTACCATGTGAGGGCCTAAGTCACCACCAGCAGTGAAATTGGTTATCGTGTTATTAGTATTTGTGTCATTTGTTAGGACAGTTTATTGTTTGAGGTATTGTGCTGTTCAGTTTGCTGTATTTTGAGTTTCCTTATCTTTTGTTGACCTCTTTTGTGGCCCGGTTCGATATTGATGTTTATATTTTTTCCTTGTTTTGAGGTAAATAAAAAGCCTTTTTTTTAAATTGTTAATATATACTTAAATGCTCTGTCCTTTGCCTTGCTGTTCGGTCTCTGACAACATCTAAACACTGACATTGATTCTTCAGGTGTCTTCCTCTGTGGGTGGGAGCCAGAGGGATTGAGTTTGACTGGAAATACATTCAGATGAGCTTTGACTCTAACATCAGTTTGGTGAGGAGCTGTTCTCTTCTGCTCTCTCCCTTCTCCACTTTGTCTTTCTACTATTCTGTCCTAAGTGTGTAAATAGTAAATGACACCTGTAATTATTTTTGTTAATAGGTCCACTATATTGCCATGGCCGCAGTGGTGTGGATGTTTACACGTTATGACCTTCCTAAGAGCTTCAGGCTGCCTGTCACTGTTCTGCTGGCTCTGTGTGTCTATAAGGCCTTCTTAATGGAGTAAGTCTCACATGCTGTGTACCATATACAGTTCCCAAAGAGATGATGTTAAGTGTTTCTTCAGGGATATGATGTTGTTGCTGTTAAAAACTATGTAGAAATTTAGAGTGAACTCAGTTATCCTGACTGTTGGGAGTCGTTTTTGTCACATTTCATTTCAGGAGCAGAAATAAACCAGACACAGTGGTTAAGTAGTGATTTTTAGATATGCTACTAGGCATATTGTGTTACCTTAGTGCACACAGAGCCAGGTTAACTGTTTCCCCATTTCCAGCCCTTTGCTAATTTAGACTGACCACAGCCTGGCTTTAGCTCCACACCTAATGGACTGACATGGAGTGGTATCAGTCTTCGTATCTAACTTTTGACAAGAATGGAAATGAGTGTATTTCCCAAAATGTCACTATATTGTCTAAGGGAAAATTCACTTGAACAAGGGTTTGACTACCCATCTCATATCCACAAATAACTTTGTGAACCACATGATGGCAGTAGTTAGCAGCAACAATGAACTCTTGACATGCACATACTGTATTTTACAAGCAACCACCTGGGCTCTGCAAAAATTAAGAAGATACAAGTGCAAATAAGAGAAATGCACTGAACAATAACTTGAAATAATTAAAATCACTTTAGCAAGCAGCTTTTTCTACGGTGTGTGTGTGCGTGCTTTGGCTGAAATGTATTAATAGCACAAATTTGCCCACCAGTCAAAGAGAGCCTCTGAAGGGTGATGGTTTGTATAGAGAATAAGAGACCAGTGAGAGGACTAGTAGATTATCTTGTTAAATTTCTGTTTTGTGGAAGTGTTCACTGTGCTGCCAGTGTTGGTGGGTGGAGTTAGCCATATGTTCTAAACAACTTGCCACCATTACATACATGCTTGCACACTGGTGTGGTAAATTTTTCTGGGTGAATTTAGAAGCTTTAGGTTCACAGATGCATGACGGTAAAAATAGAAATGTTTCCATTTCTAGCAATTGTGAAAGCTTTTGAAAGAAAACTGATGGATGGCTTGAGAAATGCCCATGCATTTTGTTTCTTAAGCATTGTAACTTGCATTATGTTTCTGTCTGTGTCATCAGGTTGTTTGTCCATGTCTTCCTGCTGGGCAGTTGGACCGTGTTGCTGATCAAAGCCGTGCTGACTGGCGCCATTTCTCTCTGCTCTCTGTTTCTCTTTGTCACTCTGGTCCACAGCAACTAAGTAAACCTCAACACCCTGAAAGAAATCTTCATCAGTCTTTTAAGTCCAGGTTGAACCAGGTTTGTCTGAATCAGAAGTGAAGCCCCGACACCATACTACACCAAAGACTGCTGAAAGTTGCTCGTTGATATTGGGTAGTTAAAATCTGACTGATCTACTGGTAAACTAACCAGTTCCACCTCCAGTTGTTTTGATCAGTCTGTTGGGACCATTGATGGGAAACACTCAGGGCAGTTAAACTGCAGCATGAGTGGTGACATTAGGAAGCTTCTGAGATGCCATTAACTAACCTAAGCTGTGTTGGTTTTGTGAAAAGGTGAATTCTGTATCATAAATAACATTTCTTTTCTGTGTATTGTCCAATGAGCCAGTGTAAATGCTTAGATTTAGTAGTGAATGGATTAATAAGTGGATGAGAGTGATGCTCACTGTGTGGCCACAAACTTCTCAATTTATTTATATCCATGTAAATGTTGCAAGTAGTTGAAACATGACTGTAGCAAGATTTTTATAATTACTGAAGAAACTGTAGTAAAGAAATAAGTGAAAACCCTGAATGAGGGCCGCAGACAGGAAGTGATCTTGGTACTTTGCTTTCAGAGTAAACCTGAATAAACAGGAGAACACACAAAAGGAACTAGTAAAAGACTATTCAGGCAGCTAAAATAAATTAGATTTATCATAGATGCCTGCTCTGCAGATTTATTCTGCCACCGCTTTACACAGCACACTTCCTCTGTTGTTCCACCTTGTGTTTTCTCCTGTCACCCCCTTTTCTGGTAGTTGCTGCTTGGAATTCTTATCTGGGACTTCTGGAGACGAACACAGCTCTCCTTATTGAAATGCCACAAAGGGCTTTGCTGTTACCTAACACACATGCACACTACTTTCTCTGTTTATACATTATAGCTGCTTGATAGGGACGAGGCAGTGATGCACTGGCGTTAGCTTGACCTTGTGGATTCCGGTGAGAATTAGAGGTGTGTGAGCATAACATCAGGGTGGTACTGACACTGGTCCATGTAGGTTAATTTACTCTTTGCAAGATTAATAGTGTGGTCAGAATGGGCCGGGCTCGCTGGACTTGGGACCACCAATGCATTATCATGGAATCACTGCAACCTTCTGTGTGAAGGTGTAGATGCAGCTCTTCAGTCACATCTTGGATACCCAGGGTCACAGGTGGAAAGTAACTGAGTACATTTACTAAAGTACTGTACTTAAGTACAGTTTTCTTGTATTTATACTTGAGTATTTCCATTTTCTCCTATTTCATATTTCAGCTTCACTACATTTCAGAGGCAAATACTGTATGTTTACTACACTACATTTATTTGATAAATGTAGTTACTAGTTACTTTTCAGAATCAGAATAATAAAACAGTATAATCATAAGAATGTTGGTCATGGGTGGAAAAAATCACAAGATTCCCAGCAGTAAAGTACTGTAAATTACAAATGGATTCAAAACAGCATATGAGGTAGTTAAAATTAGTTTAATCTACAAAATATACAGCAATAAAACGAAGTACATAATGCATTTGTATGTTTTACTTTTGGTACTTAAGTATATTTCGATGCCAATACTTTTGTACTTTTACTTAAGTAAAATTTTCAGTGCAGCACTGGTAACATGTACTGGCCAGGATCATACAGAGGGCATTTGTGAGGGTGCAGATCCCAAAAAACTGACAATGATATTGTCTTCTCTCCAACTGAGTCTTACTATGACCCAAAGCAAACCATTACTGTAGGCTTGTGTAAGAAATGGTGGGCTTTGTGTTGTCATGTCAGTTTTTATTACCAGACTTGGAACAGAGGATTCAGACTCGTGACTTCACAGTACTGAAGACAGTTTATTAAATGCTTGAGCAGTGACGCACATCATTCAAATAAAGTTCCTCTAATTAATTCAGTTTGGCATCCTGACCCAAATGTAGGTGCTGGGAGGGGGAGGTACACTTTACAAACGGCACAACAGTTTGTTACATGTATTCATATAATTAGTCATTTCCACCACAAATCCTTTAAACCTTTAAGTAAAGTTGCCTTAAAAATATGCATATGGAAAAAAAGTGGTTCAATCCTGCAAACAGAGTGAGATAGAGGAGCTCAGTGACAGGGTGCATCTCTGGGGAGACACTCCCCAACTACCTCAGAGAGAGAGGTGTACCACACTACCAGCTGCCAGTCTCCCTTTAGACCCAGACAGGTAGTCTCACCATGACCTCCCCCGAGTACATTCTCTACTAGGCCTTCTCCTGCCCTCTGAGGTTCACAGCATGGAGAGCTTGGAGTATGCCCAACATTTCTCTGTGAAAGACACTGATGTGTTTGTTGTGACTTACCCCAGATCAGGTGGTATTCTTTCTCTATACAGTAAACTTTGACCAGTTTCTCTTTCCCAAGTCCTATAGCCTATCAATTTCAATGGTTATTGTCCAGTCAGTTACAGAATTGCAGTGGTGCAAGAAATACTCAGATTATTTACTTAAGTACAGCAAAAGTAGAAATACTACAATGTAAAAATACTTTGTTATAAGTAAAAGTCCTGCATTCAAAATGCGACTGAAGTGAAAGTACAACAGTATTGGCATCACAATATACTTAAAGTACCGGTACTTCTGCAGGATTGGATGCTGTTACCTACTAATTGCAGAGATGCAGCACAGCTTTAAGACAGGCCTATGATCTTCGATCGGTATGCAGTATTGAAGCAAGCTGCTTTAGTTAGGTTATCTGGGAGGAAAAGCACCAGAAGCAGGCCTACAGATGCGCTGGTTGCAGCCGGACAGCCACCCGTTTCCGTGATCTAGGGTGATGTATTACCGTGTTTCCAGCCTGTCCTAAGGATAGAGGAGGCGCTGCAGACCTCGACTCTACATCTGTAGTCGACGTGGTCCTCGCAATATGACGGCTTCTGAAGATATGTATATGCTTTACCGTGGACTTATGCTTCCTAAGGAGACTCACAGCCTAGAGAGCTTGCAATTTGCGCAGGAACTCGCATTTAAGGACGAGGACGTCGTTTCTGTGACCTACCCAAAGTCAGGTCAGTGTTTAGCCAAGACTCGAGCTGTTGAGTTGGCAAACTGACTATACATGGACGATCTTTTCTCCCCTGGTGTCTGCGCACCGTGATTTGCTGAACTAAAGCCGTGAGTCTTTCGTGCTTGTTAGGGGAAAGAAGAAGATTTCGTTATCTTACACCATTTAGCCTACTTTCCATACATCATTGTATCCTGTTCAGAATCATACTGTACCATTAAACTATGTACACTCGGTGTTCGTCAGGACAAGTCGTCAGACTTGAATACGCCTTCAGAAGCCACTTACTGAATGTGTTCATGAGTTTGTGGAATTGTATTGTTTGAGATATTGCTTTTAAATGAAATGTAAGGTTTATGATATTTGAGAAATGACTTGTAAATTGCAGGTACAGTCTGGATGCAGGAGATCCTTCCTCTGGTGCTGAATGGGGGCGATCTGACTCCTATCCAAACCACTCCTAACTGGGACAGGGTCCCCTGGCTGGAGGAGAAACGATTAGCAGTAGTTGTGGATCAGATGACATCTCCACGAGCACTGGTCACACATTTTCCTTACAACCTCATGCCCCCCTCTTTCCACACCTCCAAAGCCAAGGTAAACAGGTGGAGGCTTTTTGTGATATGCCCATGTGTATCTGTCTTTATCTCATATTTAGTATCTCCTACACATCACACACATTATTACAACTTGAGTCTCTGCCACAGGTGATCTATGTCATGAGGAATCCGAAGGATATCGTAGTGTCCTCTTACTACTTCCACCAGATGGCTGTGTTCCTGGAGGATCCAGGAACTTTTGACGAGTTCATGGGCAAATTCCTGGAAGGCAGAGGTCACATCATAGAGAGTTTACTTTGAGACGTGTGAAATTCAGGGAAATGGAGCTCAGCATTTTGTTGTATTGTTACAGTATGTGAAAAGATTTCAGATGATGTCATGTGAAAAACAAGTCATTACAATGGTCCGATGTCTGTGTTGTCTGCAGTGCTGTTTGGAAAATGGACAGACCATGTGAAGAGTTGGAAACACACAGAGCTGGGAGACAGAATAATGTACATCACATATGAAGAAATGGTTCAGGTAAAACACAACACTCAGGCTGAATGGCTGTAAATTGCATATGAATATTAATACTAATCCTGGTGTGTTTTGTATATATATATCTGCTACATTTCCAATAAACAGGATTGTTCCATTTGTTGTTTTATTTTTATTTTTATTTGATAATTGTAAGTAACAACTGAGCCCCCAAAAATGTGTTTGTCACAGTAACAATCCCAAAACTCAAAGATGTACAGAGCAAAACATCTTCACATGAGAATTTGTAACTAGTAAACGTTTGGTATTTTTACTGAACAAATGGCCAGCGCACTTGAACTGAGTCAGACCTGTAGTTTAGGCTCTTTAAATGGCCTCACAGTGAGGATTCATCATAGAAATCATATAGAAAATCAGTTTTGAGAATTTATATCTTGACACAAAAGCAAACCTGCTGCTTCAAATGAATAAAAGTGCATCCATGTACTTGTCTTCTAGGACCTGCCTGCAGCTCTCAGGCGTATTTCAGATTTCCTGGGCAGTAACTTGAGTGAAGAAACCATTCAGAAGATAGCAGAGCATTGCTCCTTCAACACCATGAAGGAAAACGGAATGTCCAACTTCAGCCTGGTCAATAAGTTATACATGGACTTTGACAAATCTCCATTCTTGAGGAAAGGTCAGGCTCCATATGTCCAGTGACGTGCGGTCAGGGGAGGCAGGGGAGGCAGAGCACATTATTGAAAAGAAAAAAAAAACAAAAAGTTAACCATAAAATATAATAAATGTTAATATTTATCGGCTGGTGTGTGTTGTAGGCCCTTTTGCCGTTCGAATCCGATGTTGAAGAATTTTTTTTTCAATAAAGAATAGCAGAATTTCCGTATGTCCCGTTCAAATACATGGAGGAGATGCGCGATGAGGCAGCACTTTGCTGTGCCTCTCGGTGGATCGTGTAATCCTCACAAACTGTATGCGATGCAAATAGTGTGTCGCTGTCCCTCTATATATTGCAAATAAAATGCTTTCAAAAACTCTGATTATATGCTCTGCCTTGCCATAATCTGGATAATGTATAAAATGTAGTTCTGTAACGTGTTTAGGCTGCAGATTAACCATAAAACCCAGTAAAAAAGTTACTCGGTGAGGCAAACAGTACCCCAGCCTCAAGGCAGAGGGCGCTAGTGAGCCCACAGATTCTTGCGCTACCTACAATCTTCTTCGTGCTTGTTTATATTTCCTTTACAATCCGCCTTATCAA